GTGTTTACTGTTCACTGCCAACAAACAAATTTTAGTATCTTCGGCCGGTGGCGGTCTCTCCCATTTATTATTATTTCCTGGAGACAAGACAAAGAGGCTTATTGTCAGACATTGGAGAGACTTACTGAAGGAACATTTCTCATGACCGAGGCTATGAAGCTTTGATAATGAATTCGGGAGTAAGAATTTTTAACTCAGGTGGTCCTTTTTTCATGATGGCAACGCCGTCCATGCTACACGCATGAGTCGACCGTGTTTAACCTCCTTCTCGGCATTTCTAGACGTTCATCGTAATTTCTCACCTCCACAGACCTCCCGCACCAACTTCAGATACATGAAGAGGGAATCTATGTATCTTTATCGATGGCACAACCCTTTTCAGCGCGTGCGCACACGAAACCTACCCTTAAAACTGCCATTTAGACGCGTCTTCATAGGTGGGTTCCGGATTCTGTGAATCAGTGGTGATCCTAGGAACTCATCGGTATATTCACGTATGGATCACTTAGCAAGGATAACATTGTGATGCCTTGTGCTCTACTACGCGGGTTCACGCGTCAATGAGAGGAAATGGGAGTGACTTCACACCAAGAAAGTATTTGCTCAGACTTTGGAAGGTGTCCTGGCCCAAGTTGTAAGCCTTGGTCCGTATATCTGTAGTGAACCTTATGCTCATGTCTCACTAGCAGCAGGCTAATGACCCTCGTCGCAGGGTGGCAATGAATACCAGTTACGTCTTGTCTGTCCGACATTCGGTGACCGGTTCGGTGGCAATTGTCTAGGGTACGAAGTAGAGGATTTATTATCATCAGAATCTCCTGATTATTCCAAGCGGTTTAGTTCCACATTGTCCGAAAACCGTCGGTTATGGAATGTATCATCATCAACTAGCTCGCCTGACAAGCCTGTGTGTTGGTAATGGTAGTAGCACCCCAAGCACCGAAACCAGCGACCATGGTTGCCCAACGTATACCGGAACTAACGGCCAGCAAATCAGTAGAGAAGTATACTCATGATACCCAAAAATAGCAGAAGTTGTCAGCAAGGATAGGATTAGGTGAGATAGCATCAACGGCGGTCTGCAGGCTCCCACGTTCCCCATACCTGACAACAACGGCATCGCCTAAGTTGATGGCTGTTAACTTCGGATGCTCAGAGCTTCCAGCCAAAGTACTGCACGCATGATGCACAGTTGGGGACAACATCATAACATCTTCGCTGTTATGAAGGCAGGCCCAGAACACCGCGACAACAGCGATTGACGATCCTCTACACGTCAAGGTCACCGCTCTTGTTAGTGGTCAATACGTTTAAGATGACCTCGGTTCTATAGCCCCGGAAACTACTGCGGGAAAAAGATGACTGGGTCAATTCCATTTGAACTGGCTGGCTAGGAAAAACTTTCTCCTCCACATTCGGATGTCTACAGCCTGCCACCACTAAGATACCCCATGTTGTGAGAGGCGCCCTCAAGTGTCTTTACAGCGGCACGGGGGAACTTGGAAGTAAGGTGGCGGAACCACGACCTCCCTGTTCCTACGCTGCCCCGAAGACCACGATCTTGTCAGAAACTTGGTTGTGGAAATATATCAGCGACGCTAAGGCTATTGTAAACGGTATGCGTCTGTTCAGACAACGCAAGGAGGGAGGCGGAATGGCAACGTTAAATAAGTGGATAAATAAATGTTTTATTTTCACGTTAAAAAAAGCCTAACATGGCAGAAGCCAGTTTACGGGCTTCATCAAGTCGACACACCTCGAAATATCTACAAGACTACGAGTCCTGAGTGGTACAGACGGAATGTCATTAAACTCAGTTAAAAACAGCCGGAGATCCTGCTAGTTATGAAACGAACAATAAAATATTACTTTACAGCGTATACAGTGTGTTTAGGTTTAGATAATAGTGAATATTATCCTCACGTAAAGGGCTTAACATGAGGGATACCAGTTTACAGGCACTGTCAAATTCATAATTTCTGAAAGTTTACAAACTGGTATTTGGTACTAAATAATTCACATATCAGGTCATCAGTGTGCATAATCTTATTAAAATATGCTGAAATTCATGAGATGGGCATAGATTTTCATTTCCCATCACACAGACAGGTTCCACTATCAATATCAAAAGCGCGCAGTGTTCAAAGTTTGCGTTATGACCAACCAGCGTTGTTAGTTCATCCGCATAGCTTGCTAATTAGTAATATGACAGTTTATTCCTTAGAGTGACCTTCAGTTTTAGCTGTGCTAACTACAAAGGACCCATTTATACAATCTGGAGTATCAATAAAGTATCCATAGTTATATAACCAAGGTGTATATCTATACCAATGCATTTCCCGGTCTCCATGTTACGTTTAAAGGTAATGTTCATGAGTGACCATCTCAGAAGTAAACGGAGAGCTGAAGTTCTGTTGTCAGAGCTCGCAGACTCCGTCGGGCTCCACTTTAAAGTTGAACACACTGAAGACCTGGTAGGGTGCCTGCAGAACACAGGGATATGAGAGGATCATCATAACAGGGGTCTTATTGCACCAACTCTCATTCTTGGACAGAACCGGGCGACCTGAAGCAGGAGATTCGGCCAGAATCTACTCAATGTCATCGGAAAGCCAGAGCCGCATGAGACAACGCTCTCCGGGGGTCGAGCGGAAAGTTATCCAAGCTATACTGCCTACTGACCGGCAATCATGTGAGCGGAGAAAATTCTCAGGTTCAAATCTTCCTGACGGCGGCGACTAGCGTATGGTATTTTTCCGTCCGCTTGTCAGTTGGCTACTACCACGGTGGAGGATCGTGCCTTTGTCTTCACGGCCACGTAGCAAACCATGGGGCGGCGAAGCAATATCTATCAACAGCAGCATGTCCACAGGTTTCTAACACCTTGTCGATCCTCACTGGTAACTTGTAAGGGATCTAATTGAGAGGGCTACCTGTGGAAACGTCCCAGTGGTCACAGCAACGCTAAAAAATCGAATCCTATGGCTGAATTGAGGCACTGAACGCCTCGTGGAAGCCAGGAGGAAGTATGGAATATCTGGAGAATCTCTGGAAAACTGCCAGACCATAGCTCATATATGGCTCCAAGGAATTGACGCAACATCAATGAGAGGGGAACAGGAAGTCGTTCCGGCCAAACCCCAAAGGCTCAGGGCGGCCTTCAAAGTCCTATGTCGATTCATGGTGGGGAGAAAATCTTCCGGCCATGGAGCATGCGTTATGAAAAGCTGGAAGGGAGAGAGCTTCTCTGGACTGGAGACTGCCGAAATCTTTAGCGCCACCTTCAGCATACAACAAAACATTCCATCAACCAACCACAATTATCGAGCGCCTCGGCAGCCTTCAACGCTAGTTAATGCAGATTTGCATGGAATAAAAATAATCCTTGCTATGGCCACCGAAAAACTGTTCAGGCATCACGTGGGAAAATCATCGGTATGCCTCGGCATTCAGCCATCTGTATTGAGACAGTGTGCAGGTACTTTATGCGAAGCACTCTACAATCTGTTTCAACACTTCTTAGACAAACACATGCTCCCACGAGGGTGGAAACGTGCTGTTTTTTCCCATGTTTAGAGGAGGAGGTAGAAGGAGCCCCAAAGAGCTATCAGTCCGCAGCACTTCTACAAGTGCTTTCGAAGCGGTGGAGAACCTGGTGGACGACCATGTCAGAGGACACTTGAATAAGGGTGGAGTACTAAGTGGTGTTCAACACGGTTTCTGAAGGGGCAGATCCTTTGCCCCAAACCTTTTGGCAGCCGGGGATAACCGGACAGCATTCCTGGACCTCCAAGTCCCTGTTCATGTGATTTTCCTAAATTTTTCAAGGTCCACACGTCATTCTCATTAGAGAAACGCCAAGATTTGGAATCAACGGTCAAGTGCTTTCCTGGCTGTAAGACTGTTTAGATGGCAGAGGTCTGCACCAAGGCAACGGTGCCTGTTCGACGTCTTCCAGCATTCATATATATATATATATATATATATATATATATATATATATATATATATATGTTTTATATCACTTTCCGGATAGGTTCTTCTATTGGGTGACTTCAGTCGGTATATGATCACGAAATTTTTTCCAAAATGATTGTATTTGCCTCGTATTAATTGTCCTTACTGTCTATTTCCAAACTTATGTTTGCTACTTCTACATCTATAAATAGCTCAGAACTGCTAAATTTGAGAGATTTCAGTAGACTATAGATGTTGCTGAAGGCCACTGAATAAAGAATCTTGAGGCTATACGTGGACTGCCTGGCATAAAAGATCATTCAGTCGATTGAAATGTTGACCGTCGTTGGCTGAATCATCTGAGACGTACTCCAAAAGATGAGTTGTCCTGAGTTTTAGGTGAGGTGTTGAAGTTTACTAAATATAGGCTTATAATAAGGTCACAACGCAGAATCAATCCATAATGTGAGCAACTTCCAGTTTGGATGGTATAAACTTCTCCGTGTTTACAAGCCGATTTCCTTGAGATTTTACAAATGAGTGGTTTGAAATCTTACAGAGATGCAAGTGCTCTTACTTTTCATCTCCTTTTATCTCTCATTTCATAACTGTGTGCTGTCGGTAAGTATGACGATTTGAAACGACATATTATTGTGCTGGCTCCCAAGTAATTATATTTTTCAAATGTCTTACTGTTCATCAAAGAAAATCTATCATTTTTCTAAATTCAAGTGATAAAATGTAACTCCAATAAGTCAATAGATTTCCTACACTTAGAGTTTACAAAACCAAACAAGTAGTTTAATTTTCGTGGTCATGTACTGAATTCCCTTAACTTTTGAAACAATTTTATCTTACAACGTTAACTGTAGATTTAGTGCCTGAAATCGCATTTCTTATCGGTGACACAATTGTTTTATGTATTAATTAGTAGACATTCAAGATATGCTAATGCATAAGTGTAAACTGAGTTATCCTCCTCTACTCAGATTCCCAGGTGTTCCAGGTATGCGAAGTTTTGACACCACAATAAAGAATGGAAATAATTAAAAAAAACTTTATTTTTTAGGAGAAATCACATTGTCAAAATATGAAAAGCACTGGTTAGGGATAATTTCAATACTTCAGGTAGCTGGAATAATGAACAACGAGAATATGTATTCGGTGTTCAATCCAATGTGGGCAGGGGTCTTGTAGAGCTTTTACGCTTTTTCGTTAAACTTAGATTCGGTTTATTTGACTGAATATTGGAGTTCGTAGTCCTTAATCGATTTATTTGAGAGTCTACTGGGTCATAATCACTATCATTGTTACCTATTACTCTTGGATATCTTGCTTGAAGGCTGTTTCTCAGTGCATCAGATTGGTGTATTGCTCCACTGGGAGTTTGTGACTGAGAGTTTGAATTGTCTCGAGGGAACTTGATAAGTTTCTAGTGTTTTCCGAAATTGTTTGACGACCTCTATCATTTTCTTCACCGAGATAATTCCCTAAAATAATTTAAGAATAGGTTTTTGTCATAACGCTTATTTATGTTGACATTTTGTCGACACATTTTTGTTTCACAATTTACTTTGAGAATGTCGTTTGAAACAGATAGATCAAGTTTAGTGTTAACGGTAAGCAACCAACACAAAGATAACATCATTATTATGTTGAGAAATCTATATGAAATTCGGAAAAAATGTTGATTTCACAGTGATGATTACCGAAGGTGAATGAATACAAGAATCACGTAATGGCTTGAACAGTGGTCTCTTGGATGCCAACACGTAGGTCAGTCAACAGAAACATGACTGATAAACGGGGATAAATTCTTCTTAACTCAAAGAGCTTAGACATTCTTGTCATGTGATAATTTGCACTAAGTTAAATTAAAGTTCGTATGGTTGTATATTAACACACGCTTAGTGATTGAGCATGAAATTATAACCTATTCATAAATATCAACCGATCACATAGATAGAGATTTAGTAGTAAAGAAAAGTAATTTATTTTGATATAATATAGCATCGAAAAATAATTTGTCTTTTCAATAGATTAGATTGGTATTGGCCTTTTACACAAAGACAAAGCTGTGACGATTAGAGCAAACAACTACAGTCTTCATTCCCAGAAACATCTTATAAAATCCGTATCTTTGGCATGATTTTACTGACCAACATTTTTAAACTCGTTCCTTATTCTTTATCTCCTTCATGTACCTGTGATGTTTGTTCAGATTTTGTTTATCCCCTTACTTAATCCTTTAGTGAGGCACAACATTTACTTTTCTAAGTTTCGATCTGCTCTGGTCGTTAAAATGTCTCCATTATTATTCTGTTTTCCTTGTCCTCATCATCCCTATCATGACCATTAACATTGTTATTAATATCTTGATAGATACTGATAGCTAATTTCCTTACCCTGTTATCTTTGACTAAAAAGTTCACCATGATGGATTTCAAGCTTACTATATGATAGTAAAGATTTGTATATTAAAGTCTGGGTGTATATATTTGAAAACGATATTCTTTGCTAATAAGCAAGTTACAAAATAATCTTTGTTTCCCTGAAACGGTCAATTTAACTTTTAAACACTGTAGAAGTGTCTAATTTAGGTTTAACAAATCTGAATCCTTGAAATGCTGTCAGTTAGCTCCACTGTTATCGACTGTAACTGAAACAAACATTTGTTCCAAGTTAGGGATGCATGAAAATGAATGACTTGTCTGGACTACTGATGCAGTTACACAAAATATACCTAGAACAATTCCAATGTTTTATGTAAGTCATTTTCGAATAATACTCCTGCATGGTTCTTCTGGATTAACACATATGCTGACAAACGCCAATATCAGTGTATGGTAAATAATAATTGGTTACGCATTTAGAAGCTTGACCATCATGGTATTGTACTTATTTTCCAAACAATTTCAGACAGACCACAAAAATCACTTTTTGAATCTAGCATTTCGGTGTGTATTGCTGCTATACGACTTACTTGAGACGTAACTGGCTAGTATGAATCCTTGTTGACCGGTACGAATCGACTTTGCCATCCACCATTTAGGAGAATCTTTATATAGAACTTTTACAACATCTCCACGTTTAAGATGTAGTTCGTCAGACCGCTGAGCTTCATAATCGTATAAAGCTATGAACATATTTTCATTTCCCTTTATTGCTTGCATTTGTGAGGTAGAAGAAGTCCTCGAATCCAATTTATTGACCGTACCCCTTTGATTAGAAGTCTGTTTGTAAAGGAAATATAGACGTCATCAAATACCTAAAATCTCTTGATTTACCACAGTTGGGGTTTCTACAATTAAGATTGTTTTAATAGTACCCAAAAATGAAGCACACTACCAGTGGTAATATGTTCGAAGTAAATGTTGATAAAGTAGCCTAACCTCATGATGAGTCGCTAAAGAACAAAATGCGAAGCTTAGAGGACATCGAACACCTGTCACCTTCAAAAACATATAATGACACTTTTATTTGTAATCATAAATAAGTTGCTGATTGATAAGCTTTAGATCATATGTTTTTGAGGATGTTCACATTTTTGAAGATTCACTGAGGATCAAGTGGAGAGATGTTAGCAGATTGCACAAAATATTGTTAAAAACTTCATGAGTATTAATGCCAAGTGAACTCCTGATATTAAAGAGATGGAAAAAGCTCCAGTCATTCATAAAAGTGAATTATATATATAATCATTAACTGACACGACGCAACGCAACATAATACGCCAGCAGACGAATTTGTCACTAGTGGGTAACTGACGTAACTGTTTAGTTCTTAGTGCTTAGCAGTGATCGAAGTCTATCGATCAATTTATGCAGTCTGACGCTACAGTGCAATATATTTAGTGCTAGACGGCGAGCAGGCTTACGTGACCCAGTTTTCGTGCTTGCTGGCACTCATGAGTAGGGCTTATCTGCAACTATCGGGAAACTGAATGTACCTTAGTGATTCGAACCTGTGTTTCTCAGTGCTGAGGCTAAGGACGTAACCACTTAGCTACTCACAGCACGACCACCCCTCAGTAAAACTGGATCACACTTAGGACTAAGGACTAAAAGATTACTATAAGTGTAAAACTTAGGCACTGGGGTGAGATGTAATTCCATATCAGATCTGTTTAGTTGATATATTGCTCACAGTGATACAGTATTATTTACTTGATAACGTTCCGAGCATAAATTACTATTGCTTCTAACTATACCGGTGTGATATGATTATGAGAAATAACTTAAGCATGGAAACGTTATCAAGTCTATAATACTGTATCACTGTGAGATATATACCAAATAAAGAAATCTAATATGGAACTAAACGACTACGTGTGTACATAACCCAGTTTTTTTGATAGTCAGCTGTCGTCTGGATGGCTTAATGGTTAATTCTGACTTCAGCGCCGAATGATGCAGACCCATATCACTGACATAACCCAGTTTTATCATGGCTTCAGATGCAGCTTACCGATTAGTGCTAATAGGCACGAAACTTTGGTCGGACAGGGCTCCCCACTGACTGACTTCAAGATTTAACTACCAAGTGCACTAGTATGTAAAGTAGTCATTATTGTTACGTTCATTACCTAGACTTCTAAATTATTTTCTGCAAAATGTTCGTGACATTAAAATCATACTGTCACTTACAACTGAGATGAGAAGCCCTAAAGCATTCTTTTTACCGGAGTAAATGTTAAGCTTTGCAAACAATGAAGGAGAATCAGCTACCAAATCTTATTTCAGACTTCGATTTCAGTCCACCAACAAATCGAGGTCACTACATAGCTTTAAAACAGACTGTGTATGGTGTCCGTGCTTTAGTAAGTTTCTTTTATTTCTAAGGTTAAAAAATACATTCAACTTAGAAGACCATCAAATCATTTCTATTGCTTGATATAGAAGTGATTACTTTTAGACTGGAAATTGGAAAATTAACTTTATACAAATGTGAATTTCTCCCAAAGAGTAACCTGTCCTCATCGAAAATGACGAAACTGACAAATAGTCCTTTATTACCAAGTAATTAGCAATGACTAAATTCAGTTATCATGAGCGACACTTGGTTTGAATATAAATATAACTTTCGGTCACGCAAATGCAGGTGTAGAAAAGCACTTTTAAAATGTTTCTTTCCGAACTTTTTTATAATTACTGAACCTGGAAAGAATATGCCACAAAAACAAGTAGAAAGTAAACTTATCTCACAAATATCAAACATACTTGTGGTTTGGATTATGTCTTTGACGATGAGTACTTGTTCAATGATTACATGTAGTTTAAGGAATATTCTAAACCCTTGGTTGGTTCGATGGGTCCATATCAGACTAGAGCATTAGAATACCTAAGTAAATCGACAGTTCATCCCTTAGAAACTGAGCATATTCCTACTGAAGTGTGCACTTTTTCGAATGTAACCAAACAGTTACCCTTTCTAAAGAATGATATTAGATACGGACCAATCATTCAGTCAGCATCAGAATAGGACATGATATTACTGCGTAACGGTGAAAGTTGACAAACCTGATACAGGCACAGCAAGGTGGAAACCGACAGGATGAAAGATAAAAAGTAAAGAAGAAAGGAATCAAAAGCAGTAGAAAGTCATATGGAGAGACGGTGAAGCAAACAACGAGATGTGATAAGAATATTAAATGTGGATGTATCTGTCCCACTGAGATCGATTCTGAACCGTAGCACTTGGAGTCTGCAACCACCGATTTCTGTTGTCACATAGATCCCAACCTGAAAGTCTACATTTCCCGACACAGCTCCGACTAGCAATCACAAACTTCATGAACTGATGCCACATTACGGTCTGGATATGTATAACGTTTTTCGAGAATAAAACTACTTCAGTTGAGCCTGCACATCGAGTTGCATAGTGACTTGGCATGCATAATACATATTTTCCAAGCACCTCACCAAGTGACTCACCTCTGTTACCTATATCTGACTTTTGCGTTATTGGTATTATGGCACCACAATGCATGGCCTATAGTATTACGCAGTAAAGCCAAGTGTTTTATCGATTTTCGCTGACCGTAGCAATGAATACAGTTTATAGTGCTGCGGAATTATTTACTTTATTCACTTTGAAGATCTTGGTCAGTAGAAACAACTTATTTTCTCTGACTACACAATACAACTTGGCCATTGTTTAGGTGTTGGGTTTAAGTAGGTGACCATGTTTAGTACACAGTTAGAATTTAAGAGGTTCACAGAGAAAAATACTGCACAGAATCGTAAACGTGAGGAAATAAGTATTCATTTTCGAAATCTCAATACTTTTAAAATTAGTTGGTTTTCTATTGTTCTGTTAAAAAGTGCTGAACTTTCCAATTTATTTACAGAATTAGAAGTTGATTTAAAGTATTTTACTAAGTATACTAAAGTTACTCACAAAACAAACGTCTACTTCCACTAAAAATACACAGTAATGATGATTGTGTACTAGTAAAGGTTTTCGATTACTGTGCATCTCTGTAAATATAGAAGCGAAGTTCTAGAGATTTACCATCCATACATGAGTGTATTTAAGCGCAAGTTTCTCTCCGCAATGAGACGCAGCCGGCATTTATGCTTTTATAGTTTATAAAACATTCTGCTGACTAGAGAGTTGACGATAAAAGCACTTAAGAACGCCTAAGAATTACTCAATTTTTTTCTTCATATAACTGGCCCCAATATGTTTAAAGACACAGTTAATTTAGTTTCATCCAAAAAGGTCCCTACTGTAATTAATGAAATTTTAGCTATAAAGATCCAAATGAACGTTTTGGAATCAAGATTTAGTTATCAGAAAATATTATCTGTTAACGAAGTACCTACGTATCCGCGTGAAAAACTACACTTCAAAATTGTTAAGTGTTTCTGAGTGCCCAAAATGTAGGTAAGTAAGCAGTTATTGTAGTAATCGAAATATGTGACATGATAAAATGTAACCTGCTATGATGAGGAATGTTGATCAGAATAAAATAAGGTATAATAATAATAATTGAATTTAGAAATATGCGTATCACAAATGCTTGAATCTCGATGTTATTTGGTGGAAGGTAGCTACCAGGACGTCCTTAACCTAGGTTTCGTGCGTGATGGAACTCTTCAGCAGGATCTGACTTCAACTTCAAGGGGATCAATATTCATCCAGAAGTTTGAAACTACACTACTCAGCACTGCAGTCAGAAATGTTACGATTAAGATATTTGTGCAACGACTGGATTTGTTGAGTTGACTAATTATTCGAGGCTGACTAATTTAATAGTGTTTTGTTTTAACTGCTGGTCGAATTTCTTCATTCATATCACAACGTGGCCAACATGCTAGGAGACTCAGCATCACGGTGTACGTTTTTGTAATTTGATTGCATCTAATTGTGTCACTGATACTTTAAAGGGTTCCATATCCAAGAAAAATTAAGAAAATCTTGAATACCAACTGGACTTGGTTAACGTTTTTACTCAACTTTCCTCATTCAATTAAGAAAAACAACATTTACACATTCGTGTCAGCAGTGATATTCATTAAAAAGAAACTTATCGGAAAAGAAGTGGGAATAACTCACTTCATCAATCACAGTGTATGTCGGTCTCCATTCCTGTAAGCCGAAAAAGGAATTCACAATTTTGTACACATTATTTTCTGTAATAAACTTAGACAAAAGCAACAAGAAAAAATTAACTAGGATATCAAATATCTGCATCATTCCACCTCGCATCTAACCATAACCTTGTATAGGATGAACTGTGATGTATTTGAGCAGTTCTTCTGATATTTTACGAGTGAACTAAGTAGGGGAAGTTTTCAAATACTGGACAAGTTTTCATTAGTCATGCTAATAAAGATAGTACTAAGCATATAAGCAAGGCTTTCTACCGTGTTCTGTAAGCCGTTAAGAACTGGAGACAAGGAACTCTAAGGTTACAAATCACAATTTACTAAATTAATTTGGGTCATCACCAGATGGTAAATAATTGGTAGTATCTCTTGGTTGATAACGCGGTTCTGTAGTACTATCAATCGTTCTGTTTTTTTGCCAACAGATTAATTAGGTATGAGAAATGGCATTGCAGTGCATAAAAACACAAGTTTTCGGAAATATTTTAAATGTGTCCACTATGAATTGCTAATGTTTATAAATTGAGCATTTAGATTTTAGAAATATATATTGGGCAGTAGATAGAACTTGAATTTAGGGTACTGGTTCATTTTATCTGGGACTAGTGAACTGAATCTACCTGCATCTCATGGGACTTTCGCTGTTCTCACTGAAACTGGAATTCAGCATCCATCGGTTCAAAAGTCATTAACCAACAGAGACTAATTAATCAGGCCCAGTCAATCAATAAAGGGTAAACCAAAAATTATAATACAATACTAATACTTGTTTAAAAAAATTTACCTTTTAAAACTTAGTAACCTAGTGGATAGCAAATATGTGATGGAGGAATCAGTGCTGGATATAAATGTCATCTGGAACATCACCAATCATTGTAATATGGATATGTAGGGCTGGTGAACTCCAAAAAGGGATAAAACACGCATATAAGATTCCATGACTAGCTATCACATATTAAATGATTAAGGTCAGACAATCAGGAACACTGAGGCGTCAGTACAAGTAGCCTATGTGCTAGCCAAGACTAATCGATTCGCTTCTATGAACCAACAGTGTGAAAATCGAATATTATATGTAGACACCGTGTATGAAAGCTCTGATAGTACCATTTGATTCATTTCGATATTATCGTTAATATTTGGTCAGTACTGAAGTACCAGACGCTTAGTGCATAGTACTTAACCTAAGTAACTCAAAAGCCCATTATATAGCTTCCAAGCGTTCGGAGAAATAGGTTCAGAATTTGACCGATAACGATGATACCAACATTTTGAAGTTAATGATGGATGGTGGCTAGCAGTGGAATCTAAGACGCGCGTTTCATCCTATTTGGGAGTCGTCAGCTGGATGTACCTGCCTCAGTGAGAGATGTTGTCCCCACTAGAACTCGAACCCGGGACCGATCGCTCCAAACTTCATAGCGTCATCCACCGAGCCACAACAGCCACTTCTTATGAGACGGGTGTAGTTTTTATGTTGTTACTTGTATTATCCCATCATTGATTAGACCGAATTGATCGGTCTATTACGGTATGTAGGCTTTTGGATAGATGCGCTGATATTTCCTGTAGTTTCAATTTTGATATTAATGATGGACAGTGGCTAGGAGTGGAATTCAGGAAGCGCGTTTCAAAAACTTCACAATGAGACATCCAGTTGATGAGATTTTTGTAACATAAAATCTTACTGATGGATATAAGCTAACAAACAAGCAGGGATCTTACGTACTGATAGAAGCCAATAAATGCATTGTAGTAATATGAACTACCGAAACATTTGGTGTTCTATCCTTACAACATAAAAAGTAGGACTCTATTAGACGCTAAGCTCTAAGAAATGTCAAGCTTCGGGTAGCTGTCTTTTATGAATAGCATGAGTAATAACTACTCTCCAGGATTTAGTGCTCAACAAAAATAAGTGTGTATACGCGGATACTTGAATAGTCGGTTAAAATCCTACTTTGAATCACGGTCTTATACTTCACTCATCGTCACCATTTGAATATATATCCATTTTTAGGTTTGACTTACCAATTCATGCAAATCGTTTTGATAACCAGGGTTATGTATTTGTGGTTTTGAAACATTCTACCAAGAAAATATGGAAAAAAGGATAAAAACATTGGAATTCGAGTATCAGTTACACTTGACTATGGTGGATGATATTTAGAATTTGATTTGGTCCAATATACAACGCTTAAATTATATCTTTCAAAACCTTGCTTATCTGTCAACCAAAGTCTAGCATATTTCTATACCTGAATATGTTGAAAGAGTAATGAGCCTTGATAAAACGGTTGTACAAGCCTGGTTGAGTAACCGAAAGTAAAGAAACGTATTAAGAAGCTTTAAATATCAAATAATTAAGAAAATACTGACATGACCTTGAAAGTTTTATGATTTATATCCATGTGTACTAAAGTTGCCAAAATATGTTTTCACTTCGCGATTTTTTTGGCGAATTACCGAACCCCTACCTTAGTTTATACAAACTATGATCAAGATTTGATCGTATAGTATGGCAAATATCGGGCGCTGAGTAAAGGTTGACATTACATATAGAATTGTATTTGTGTAAATCACAGCGGGTTTGAAATCAAATAATCCCAACGTTTCGCACAGGATCTGGTCCCAGCTTCTTCAGGGAAATGATCAAAATTGAAATATCAAGGATATATATATATATATATATATATATATATATATCCTTGATATTTCAATTTATATGTATATGTATATATATATATATATATATGTATATATGTATATATGTATATATGTATATATATATATATATATATATATATATATATATATATATATATATATATGAATTCAAAAAATGTGTGTTTAATCTCCTCATTCAATCCTCTTCGTATAATCATTGTCTTTCTAAATTATGATAACTAATCATTCAGTGTGAAATTGTATGTCTTTTGTTGTATGGCGTATATATGTATGTATGTACTCCGATTCATATTCGTCTTGATTGTAAATATCAGACAAAAAGGACATTAGTGACAGTCATTCGGTAATTTTATAAGTACAAATTGAAAAGGATGAAGTGGATGTGTATACAATTTAACTTGAAGTAAAGTGGTGAATAGTATTAGCAAATTCTCTTCGCATTGATTTACCGGAATAGAGTGGAAATGAGTGGTAGTAATGGTGGTGGTGGTGGTAGTGGTGATGATGATAATAGTAATAATGGATCGAATCAGTGCAGGTTGTTGTTGTTGGTGCAGAAATAATGAAGTTGAGACCAGTGTTGACGATAAATTTTTGAGTCAATCTTTCTGTTTAGTAATTAGTAATTGCCAAGAGGTAGCTAACTGTACTCCAACTCGTCTGTTCAAACTGTCTGGATTCGCCCATATATGTAGGGCATCGGCTGTCAGTCTTTCTTGGTATGACCCAAAACCTTTTTGTAGAACCTTAGTTGGGACACAAATTCGACTTTGACGGAACTGAGGTTCTAAAAAAGGTTTTGGGTCATACCAAGAAAGACTGACAGCCGATGCCCTACATATATGGGCGAATCCAGACAGTTTGAACAGACGAGATGGAGTACAGTTAGCTACCTCTTGGCAATTACTAATTAGTAAACAAAAAGAGTGACTCAAAACACTGGTCTCAACTCCATTATCTCTGCATCAGCAACAACACAACCTGCACTGATCTGACTTATTATTATTATTATTATTACTATTGTCTTTGCAAACCAGTTGAAAGAATTGTTTCCACTGTCTTTCAATCCAAACTGAAGTCGATGACAGGAGTAAAAATAAAAGCTTCACCCCAGACAATACCCGCTTGGAGAACGCTTTCAAAATTTCATCAATACCTAGAGCTACCGATATTTTGCTTCATTCATTAAAACTTCGGAATTCCGTAAAGTTTAAAGGAAGATTGGTGAGGTAGTAGAACTTGTTAATAAATTACTCTCACAGGTCGCGCTGGTTGCGCACAGGTTTCTGATGCAAGAATTTTATTTGAGAGGATTAAACGCTTCTGTACAGAAGACACTGATGCTACACACTTACATTTTACTAGAAGTAGGGTAGACTACATCAATCATGGCACAATTTACGGGAAGTGATATGCCATCGAGCTTAAATCGTTTATAGTGTTCAGTTCTTTTACAAAGATCCTTTAAAGGAGCCCGAAATTCATAAAATTTACAACCAGTCAATATACTCCGAATCCTCGAGAAGAAAACATCTGATGATACATAAGAGCACAAAATCTTTTGCAGATGAATGCGGAATATCTATTTAGAGAAGCCCATCTACACCGTTAATGTTTCGCATACAGTTTAGAACTTGATAATTTACCTTTTGTCTTGTCTTTTTTTTCGTTGTCAAAGCTTCAAACGTCAATCAAGGTAGGAATCCGAAGGTAATTTTGCAAGCGTTCATATACGTATCTCAGTGTATTACGTCAACGTGGGATTAAAAATGTGGAGAGCTGATAATTGATGAAAAAAGTACGCATGGTAGAAATACATGTGAAATTTCCACTTCACTATTAGTGTATGCCGGGGGTACTGCTGAATACTTTGTTTGAGCGATGCATCAGACAGAAAAACAGTACAATTTACTGGATAATGTTTTGAATAAAAATTTATTCTTCACAGTAATTTTAAGACAACTTCACAACTTTGAAACATGATTTACTTCATTTTAGTTCTCTTCTTTGCGACAGACCAAGTAGAACTGATAGCAACCGAATAAATTAGGAGGTCGAAGTAGTAGAAAATAGTTGAATTAACATTATTAGATTCCATTTTTATTGATTTACTATATTTATCACACAGTGTAACAATATTGTTTACTGGATTATGTTTCGGATATAATTTATTGTCCATAGTCATATCAAGATAACTAAACAACTTTGAGATATCCTTTATATGGTCCTAATTTTTCTCGTCTCTCTATATATAAAGGATATCTCAAAGTTGTGTAGTTATCTTGATATGACTACGGACAATAAATTATGTCCGAAACGTAATCCAGTAAACAGTACTGTTATACTGTGTGATAAATATCATAAATCAATAAAAATGGAATTACATTCTACCACAGTGCACAAGTTTTACTCTTATATTAATTATCATTATTAGACCCTAATAAGACAAGAGGTTAAGAGGAAATGTTGCTTACATACATGTTCAGTGGCCCACAATCAAACAGTAGCATGGAACAGAGTTACAGTCAAAGAAATAAAGTTTGTTCGGAGGGGGATAGATAGATGACCTAATCTTTGTTTGTTAAGTCAGTGACAAGCATGTGCACTGGGAATGATTCAAGATTTATTTCAGATATCTGAAAAATTCTGCTAACCCCCTATCAAAAAGGAGAAAATAGACTGAGGACTATTTAAGCCATGTTTTAAAGTTGGGGGCAATAAATTGTCTCCGAAAAAATTATCCAGCACATGATTCTGTTTCATACTGAGGTACATCTGCTAGCCAAACTACAAATGATTGCAATACTAATGGGAAAATGTCAAAAATAACTGTAAATATGAACTTCAGGTAAAACTAACCAGAACACTTTCTAATTTGGACACTGCTAGCAAAATTCGTTCAGCATTACCTTTCTTAAACTTGACATGAGATGTTAAAATATCAGGAGGTTGTTCGGTATAGCTTTAAAACAATAAAGTAAAATAAGCATATTCTGTATGCATAACTGTCTACACAAAATAATGATTGAATTAAGTTATAGTATTACTGGTTTAAACAGGTGATCAAAACATAACCCCCCTAGTTATCATGTAGATACAGGTGGTTAACATGTAATTATGGAAAACTGGATAACAGCCAAATATAACTTGAGTGAAAAGTTCACATAACAACTCAGTGAATTACGTCTTTTCTGTTTTCATCATTTCCAAACGCTAGATGACAGTATGAGGCTGCTGACTACAAAAACCCTGATAAGTATCAAAGCCTCTGTTTGCATTAGGTACTTAATTTTAACTGCTTATTCTCAACACATTTCTCTCCTTGAGAAAAGTTGCATCACTAAAAGAAGTTTTGGGAATTAATCAGACGGTTTCATCTGTGATGCACATCGTTTGGGAAAAATGGTCTCGGACTGTTTGCAAACATTTACTCTATAATTCTATATATTTTCTCAAAAGTTGAATATTTTTCACCTGTTGTAGAAAATTAAGGAATGAATGAATACAAAACTTCTTTCAAGCTGTTTCGTAAAACAGTCCACTTCGTTCTCAAACATAAGAATATGAAATCGATGACCTTGATGGTTGATTACATTTGCCTCTTGATACTTAGATTTAGCGGGTCAAACCAATAGATCGTAACGTCACAGTAAGACACTGTAAATAAAAGTTGTATGATATGCTTTCGTCAAAAACTCAGTAAGTTGTAATTAATTTTACCACTTGCATATATTTGGCGATGTCCATTTCAAGTAGGTGATTCTAAAAACTTGCTGAAACTACGCATACTTGAGACTTTTCGCGGAAGTTCTACTTATATATAATGTTGTACAGTGTTAAACATTGTTACTTGTAAGTCCACATCTTAGACCCTGGAATTCAACGACTGGATAGCTACACTTCGCCACTTTTATTAATACTGTTTGAATGAGATATGTTGAGGTAAAGATTCTACCACATAATTCAATTATATATTTACTTTAAGATAAAGTACAAGCAGTCCTCATACATGACTTTGATGTCTTTTGGGCTACTAGGCATTCCCATGAGCTTTCCGTTAGTGTGTAAAGTTATCCTATTTCCACTTACTTGAAGATTTGCAAGTTGGGGTTAATACACATGTTTTCACTTTTATATTCTGTTGTGCAAGTTGTTTCAAAATAGTAGTAGTAGTAGTAGTTTTAGAATTAGCTAATAACAGATTGACGTATCATGTTAAGTTTTGACTGTGTCTCAATAGGTTCCTTCACCAAAAAGATTTATCAAAGATGAGTTTGATCATGTCTATCATATATATTTTTAGTTGACGTCTACTTCAGAACTGAATCGATGATAGTGATGATCTACTAGTTCACATTTAACAATTTTTCCGACTCATGGACAAATGATTACCAAAATTGGAAACTGTCGTAGACATTTCTTTCTGGGAGTTTATAAACAGATTTATTCACTTATCAGTTGAAAAGTAGAACCAATAGAAAAGGAGTGCAAACAATGACCATTAGAGCCTGAGTGGAAACAACATTACCGACTGGAAGGCAAACGAATCCAGCCGATGAGTCCCAAATGGATTTCACTGCTAGCCACTATCTATCATTATTAATCATTGGAGCTAATATAACCTGTTGTCTAGACAGGCAGACAAATCATGAACCTCCGTAAATGCATCCATGTATTGTTTGCAACCAATAAAACACACATACGTAGCATGCAGTGTCATGTTTTTAGGAATAGAAATTAAAGTTGACATTCAGTCAGTTGAGGCTATGAAGAATGAAACGAGAAATATCGAAAGGAAATACAGAAGACAAGCGAAGAAGAGGTAGAACCGAAGAATGATCGATCCTGAAAAATGGAATACAGACATTGTTTGTGTAAACCGCGTTCAATGCAATGTCGTAACATTATATCAGCACTCAATGTAAGTTCTGAATAAACCGTTTTATCAGTCCTAAATGGTTCATTTTCTTTATATTAATTCTGCTTTAACAGCCGGATTAGCAGTCCTAATTCGCTTATTGTATACTCACAAATTAATAAAAAACATACTATCTTAATAAATGTTAAAACATTATTGTAAAATAGGGCAATTAAATGATTGGATAAATATTCTTACTTGATTTCGCCTCCCTGTGAATGAGATATCTCACGCTTAGATTGTAAATGCGAAGCAGATAATTGACCTGCTATATATGATACAATAGAAATAAAGCATGATTGAAGAGTAATTAAAGTCTGCTACTTGCAAGTAAAATGTCAACTGTCAGACATTCCACTGACCACTCAGTATTTGACTTATACATCAGGTGTGAAAAGTACCGAAGTAGCGTCTCAGTTTGAAGGTCAGGTAATCAAGATAAAACATTGGACTTCATGGAATATCAGTGTCTTCAAGGTTGATCAAGTGACTCAGTAACCCACGCTAGTATATAGTTGATCTCATGGAAATGAAGTTCAACAAATGACTGATAAATTGGCAAACTGGAAAAATGAATAAATGCTGACAATGTCTACTGATCAGTGCGTATCACCTTAAGACAGCTAACTAACAATTAGTTATTTATTCTTATTTTTAGGGTACTAGAAAGTAGAACCAGTTGTCGGTTGAGCAAACATTCTGGGAAAAATATAATATAACTTTACACGCAAAATGTTAAGCAAAACGAGAGCAATAATGTGTAAAAAAATACAACCAATAAAAAAGCAAAAGTAGCTGTGTTATTAACTGATCAAATTGACTTCAACCTTAAGCTTCAAGCCAATGCTCAGGCTGCTATATCACACCAGCAAGTGCTGCACACGTCAGTTCCAAGGAGAAACCACTACATCCTGCTGAGTACGTATTCGTTTTAATTTACTTGGTCAGTAAGAAGTATAACCAACCTTATTTTGATAAACATCTTGATTTGGTGAAATTCTGATTAGAATTCAATGATGTATGCAATTGATGTGTATAAGTGAACAACGCTCTTTGTAAACTTACTAAATTTGGCTAAAGAAACCTTCAGTCTCTCGATAGTTGACTGATTAACCGTCTGTAAGTTTAGTTCAGATAGTTACCACTTTTAGACTGATAGTTGAAATCATTTCAACAAAATGAGTATTGAACTAAACTGAATACAATGTTTACCTAAAATATATCCACTAACATCTACTGTAGTCCTGTCAAACATATTACCTGAATACTGTTGCAAGCGATTGTTTAAAATATAAAGAATGTTTATGGTAGTAAGACTTTTTACATCTTAACAATGAAAGATTAGTTACTGGATAAACAGTGAAAGATATTACTGAATGAATCGTATCATCATTTGGAATAATAAATCTAGTATACTACTTGACATTGAAAGTCGAAGTCAACTGGGTATTACAAACATTTCGTGAATCTCTTTACTAAAATCAGTAACACATTTAAACAAATGTGTTCTACTCCCACATAAACTTTAGTGGTAATTCCAAGAATATGACTGAAACTAAATGCATCACTATGGTCGATTTCTGACTTCTATGGCAAATGTGGATGTTCTGGTTCAATTCACTGACTTATTCTCTTCCATGAACCATGAATCCATTGATGTAATCTTTCTGTTGCCTATATTTCCATGCCTTAACTAACGTACATTGTTTCATGGGTCTAAGGTGTACTTATTTCGGCAGATAACAAGAGTACGTTGTTGCCGATGGACGGCAATTGTGAAATTATTGAGGATAAAGATAGTAACCTACTTTTCTTTTTGCCGTAAAGGCTGATTATGATGTTCAAAAGAAACGCTGAATAATTTATAAGCGGATGATACTGAAACCAATTTATAGTTACATACTTAGTGAAGGATAACAAGAGAAGCCAGAACAGTTGTGGACTCTCGTGCCCAGGGGCTTAGTGGGCAACGCTTTGGTATTTAAAGCGATGGGTACTGGATCCAAGTCTCAGTGGGAACAAAATCACTCACTGGTGTGGACGTTCATTTAAATGGTGTGTCCCAAACAGGACAAAACACGTGTCCTAGATTCCACTGCCAGTCACCAAGGTGAATATGACATCATGAATATCCGGCAGGATCGAGGCGTCCGCTTAGGAGCTCATCTGTACACAATTCGACCTTGTATAGCGACAGGAAATTAAAAGTATCAAATAACATGAAGTAAAACAAATTTTAAAATCAAAATCTTCGACACCAAAGTTGACTTTCAGTAATATAAAATATACATGGGATCAGCAACAATATATTGTGACTATTTACCTTTAATATCATATTTATATATAGCAACTGGTGATTCTGGTCCAACAGCAGAAAAAGCCACAACATTATCCATTGGATGATAGCTTATTGACGTCACAGAGCCAGGTAACAGTAAATTCTGATAAATTTCCACTTGATCACCTACAAATTATAATCGAAAAAAAGTATCAAAAAGAGCGGTAACCTAACCAAAAACGCTATCATAATGCTGAAATCGCTTTTGTGAAGTTATCCAAACAAAGTAATTTTAATCTAGAGCTCTTATAGTAGTTCATAAGAATTTCATATCACCATTCTGATAGAAATTAACAGATGACGAATAATAATTTTCAATGATTATTTAAACAACCATATTCAGTTTAATTCCATATTAGGTTGTTTATTTGATATGGCACACAGTGATGCAGTATTTTCGACTAGATTACGTTTCAAGCAGAGTTTATTGTACATGTTCATATCGCATCCGGTAAAATAATACATCATCACTGTGTGCCATCTCAGATCAACAATCTAATCTGGATTTCTGCTTTACTACAGTGTCCTAGTTTTACTCTTATTCTGTTTAGCTTGAATTTGTTTTTCTCATTTATCCGCGCTAGTTTCTCGGGCAAGTTGATCTTCTTCATCCGCATGTAAACGTATGAAAGACTGGGGCCCCAATTTTAGGCTCTGAGTCCATGTTTCGTCATAAACCACACATTCTTGTTTACTGGTAGCATGGAACGAATTAAATTATATATATATATATATATATATATATATATATATATATATATATATATATATATATATATATTATATCCCATTCCCGACAGATAGGTAGTTTCATTTGATTTTTGAAACCAACCACGTGGCTAAATATGTGAACACAAGCCATCAAAAGATATTCACAGCCTCAAATACAGTTAACAGACGTCTATCAGTAAATGTATTGTAATTGTTATGACCGACTGAGAAGAATATATTTTCTATTAAGTAGGCAAGTTGACTGGGTATCATAGTGATTAACAGATAACTTAATACTAGGTTACCTTTAGAATGAAACGAATTAAGATCTTAGCTAAACGAAAGAATCTGAAAAAAGATAGGATTCCCTCCGAATAGGTATACGGTGAATTATCCGGTAAACCGGCGAGTACTTAATACATTTCTCATGTTGTTTTAAGCCTGTTCTGAATTGTCATCTTCATACAAGGTCGAAGTTAGGATGTTATAGCCCTCACTTAGCATATTTACATTAAACCACTTGCTAAGCCTACAACAGATAGCATCTGTAAGCCACATATACTGAATATCATCGACATCAATTACGGCAAAACAATGAGGTTTAATCTCACCAGTATTCACATTCCACACGTAGACATTTCCATCTTCAGAACCAGAGAAAAGGAGTGAACCACAAGGTGATATACAACTGCGCAACAGTTCTGTATTGTTCAGAGCTCCATGAAATCGAGTTGTGATGAAATCCCTACAAACAAATTTCATCAAGCAAACGTAGTAAGATGTTGGATGTCGAACAACTGAATCATTCTTAGAACTTATCCTCATTATTAGGACGGCAATTTCATAGGCTAGATATGAAACGATTCTCAACTTAGAGTGACAAAAGTCTTGTCAACAATCATCTTTAACAGATAATTTTGCATAGCTTACCCAAATTCGGTCCAGTCAACTTCTGGGCGTTCCAGAGGGAATCAAAATCAAATATCAGATACAGATTACTACACATGTATACTACTATCAGATGTGAGTAGATAACAACCATTTGCACCAACCAATAAGGCTAAATAAATCTGAGTAAGCAACCAATGAGCTTAAGTTCTCTCAGTGTGACTGGATAATGTTACCAGTTCGTCGAATTGGCCTCTGACGACTTATTTCGATCAGCTTACATGATATCACATTAGCTGTCGCATAAATCACAATTTGCTCTTTGAACATTTTTATTTTCGATTAAAGGAGTTAGAAAGCAGATGATAATTTTATTCTTACTACGGGCTAAAAGTTTTCAATATATATATATATATTATGATTCTGCTGGACACTAGTATATCTTTTGAGGGACTACGGTTAAGGTAAAATCTAACTTAGGATCCTTACATTTTACTTTTAATTATGGTTAACTATATTTGGTCTAACATTGAACTTCATTCCTATTCCTGTTCTAATATGAAGCTTCAATATCAGTTATCAAAAAGAAAAATGAGATTTTAATAAGATTCGCCAAACCTTTTGTAATGGTTTGTGACTGTTTTGACAGACATGTAACACAGGCATGAATTAGTCAGTCAGGTCTGATCGAGTCATGAAAAGTACTTTCCTTTGGTTATTTCTGTTTGATCCTACTATGGCTAACATTATAATCTTATTGGCTGTCATTCAAATACCACCGAACCTATGGTATTATGAATGTTACTATAAATACAGGCGTTTAATATTCAGTGATTGAACTTGATTGGAGCTGCTTTCGTGGTACTCCTAGGAATTTACGTATCACAGTTACAATTCTCATTCTTCCTACATCATTCTGAACTACTACTTCTAACGAATGCTAATTGCGAATATTTAATTCCCTATTCCATCCCTAAGGCACTACATCTTTCTGCTAGAAAATTTTTCGACATGGATATCAAGGTTTTTAAAGATTTTATGGGCTTTCAATCCACCCTAGGTTTTATAAAGTTTACTTAGATTTCCGTTTTCTTAGTGCACCTTAATCACTCATTCATTCATTTTTATAGACTCAGTACGGAAAAATATCTACTGTACTAAAAGACCCAGAAAGATCAGTTAGCTTAATCGATATTATATAAGTTCAAGTTAAGGAAGTTTGTAACATAGGAAAGAATCTGAGTTCTGATGGGATTGTAGGTAGACGCAATTCAGGTGGTGAATACCTTAGCACTAGTTGACCTATGTGACTTTGAATTTCAGCCAGAAAAATTTCCACCACGAATATATGTATCCTAATCACTGTAGTTTGGCGTAAAACATCACTAAGCACATTCTCTAAAAATGTTATCAAAAGGGTATACTATTAAAAATAATACGAGTGCCTATTTTGAGGCTGTAAGGTTATTATTTTATTTAGGATTGTATAACTTATTTAAAGAAAATAGTGTGATTTGAAACTTACTATCGGGTTACATTAAATCCCCATCATTTCCCTCAGTCATCTCATTATTTGCCACCGGAGACTCAGTTATTATAGTTACCAGTGCTCTTTTTCTGAAAAATTTGTTTGCTGATTATTTTTTAAAGTTCTGCTTACAAACCTACAACATAAAACAAGTGGATCCTTGCTTTTTTCTATGAATTGCCGTCCAGCATAACCAGGAGACCTATTCACGTTTTTTGAATGAGTCTTGTGTGATATCTTTCTAACTTGTTACAAACGAATACTGATAATATTATAATTTTCTTCAAAGTTATCCCCTTTTCCTTCTCAGTCTATGAAACCTTAGACAAACTGTGATAGTGAACTGACCAAACGTTTTTTATACGAAAATCATAAAGCGTATTTATAGCTCAGGATGTGGATGCTGAGAATGAGTTGTTCTCTCTCAGCTGAAGTATTTGTTAGTAAGCGTTACAGTGTCATGCTAGACATCCTCATCAGTGCATAAGTGTCAAAATGTGACCTGACATCGGTGTTTAGAAGAAGTATGCTGAGATTCTAAAAATATATTCCTCGCATAATAAAAGAGTAACAAAGTTTTCGAATGTCACACTCACATCATCGCTTTTTGATTCAATTAACCAATACAGAGTTAATCCTATCACCCGTCTTCAAAATAATTTATCGCATTTTACTGAAGTGTTCAGATAGAGTTCATATATACCTAAAATGAATAAATCAGACTCGGTGATCAACTTCTTTAGGACATTTGCAACGACTATGGTCTGGATGTTTATTATGCAGAAAATTGTTCAAAATTACATTTTTTTAAAGTGAAATGAGAAAGTGTTTCCTAAAGGGAATAACTAACTGAATAATAAACATCTGTTTAGTAAGTAAAAATGGAATTTGAAGAAGTGGTTTAGTGATAGCAATTTAGACATGCTTTAAGCATAAGGTTTTATAAATGTAAACAGTTTCGTAAATTATTAGTAAAGAAATTTCCGTCTAGAAAATAACTGAAATTTCATAAAAACTTACGATCGCAAATCAAGCATTTTAAGACAATTATCCCGTTGGTGTACCAGTAACAAATTCAAAGTTGGGTGGATTTCCAAATGGTTGATTACGCACATCTATTTAGTGCGAACAGAAAACGAAAAACAGAAAACATATTTTTTAAAAAGCTTTTTCTTGACGAATAATGACAAAATGCAGAAAAACATTTTTGACTTGTGCAAGGAGTGTAGTTTCCGCTGTAATGTGAAACGAAAATCTGCGTGAAAGTGTTTTCGATTATTAAAATTTGCCTTTGACACCAAGTATCGGCCAAAGTCTGAAAACGGAGCGGAACAGATGATTCTTCCTAGTCTGGAAATTGTCAGTAGTATACACTCACTACCACTTGTTGGATAGACGTGAGAACTGTTGATCGTCGCAGAGAGCATGCTAATATTCATTTACTGAGTTAGAATTGAATGATTTGCATAGTTCAACATCTATTACTTAAAAGCGTACCCTAACAGCAATCCATTTTCATAGACCACTCTATATAACAGTTACTCAGTACTTACTATTGATTAATTTAGGGATAAATTTTCCTAGGTTCTGATGAGTCACTGTTGTTCAAGTGGGAAAATGGATAGATGATCCCATATAATACCGAAGGACAAGTCTATAGCTAAATGTCGACTGCCGAATCCCAACCCACTGCTGAAACTGTAAGGTGCTTTTTGTAAAGACTGACAGTCTTATATTCGATCTATTACTGGTCTGTAGTGATGAGGAGATAAGGCTCACACTACGAAAAAGCAGGCTTTGTGCTATTCATAGCTTCTCATAGTTCTGTAGTTACTGCCAATCTTTGGGGAAAATCTCCTCGAATCCAATCAGCTTATCATGACTATTAGGCAGTAGCGCCAGGTTGATATTGACTGACTGATTGGATTATTCAACTGTGTAACAAAAATATCGATCACTTATATGAGAATTGCAACGATTTTTTTTCGTTTTCGGTTTAACATTGGAGTGACTCAAGTGTCACATTTTAGAAACAATAAAGCATTTGAGAAAGACATCTCTCGAGCTAAGTTATAGCACCTAACTTGAATAAGTGCCTGTTATTCGACCTTGCAGTGGTTATCTGTTAGTAGACCTAGAAATACCTAGTGGAAACAGTTTTCGAACCCTCATAAGGTAGATACATTTACCTGATTCGGAATTTGAAAGGGAAACACTACACAACAAAAAAGAAGGCTATAGTCAACAAAGTTGAACCAGTGAAGACCTGTTATCTATATTCGCTACTGTCCAGCAGTCATTTTGTGTATACAGGACAATTCTAACACGGGAGCGTAATTGATAGGTTCAGAAACTTAAAATAAATTCTTTAAATTCACCACTACAGAACACAGGTTAAGATCTCCAAGAGAACAAAAGTTTTTATAGGTTTAATATGTGTGATAAACGTGATCAAGGACGTGTTTAAAAAGGTTTCCTGCCAAACAATGTAGACACTGGGGACAAAAGATCTTGGGGGATGACCAAAATTGTATGTATTTCAAACTGGGTTTTTTGCTATATTTATAAGAACAAATCAGAACAGAATTAGTAGCAATGTAAATGTTGGTTGCAACACAACTAAATCGAGACTTAATGGGTCTGTTGTATTAGCATACAAGAAGAGGAGAGCAGAAACTGTACACAGAATTATTAACAAGGCGAAAATTAGGGCGGGATTTAAATTTAAGAACTTACTCGAAGGGAAACTTTGTCAGCTTTAAGATCCTATTTACTTAATGAAACAAAATGAATTGATTTACCAAATATAGCGTAATAATTGAGGAGTCTGGTGTATAGATCATACGAGCAGATTGTTATTGTACAGGTTAGCCGAGCATTGAAACTTAGACAAATTTAGGATGATAGACCTCCACAAGATAAGTAATTAAGAGAATGGGTGGCCACTGCGATTCATGTAGCAGTAACACAGCTAAACATTAGGGTGAGAACAGGTCAACAGTTCTAGAGACTAATTTAGTTGCATGCAGAATGAGATAGATTACCAAATCCTTTTTTATCGGGTCAACATTGAGTAGAAGGGATGTAATACCCGTTCCAGATACATGGAGAAACCCATTCCTATCGAGACTAAGGAGTGGTGAATAACTGTATAAACCAGGGATTGAAAGTTGTATGGTCACTTTGATATGACAATAAGAAATAAATATTGTTTGGATAGTTATCTAGTAGGTAAAATTCTCCTGTGTTATGCCAAATTACCTCCACCATAGTACTAAGATTCTACTGTTGCATTATCCTGTGTTTACTTCAGTGGGTTTACTGTTGAATCAGTATTATACGAAGCACTACTTACTATTGCGGTTATTCTTACAATGCCTTTAATGAAGTCACTCTCAATCTGGGACAATGATTATGAAGTGATTTCTCATATTTAATATAGAAAAATGTTTTCTATAAGTAAAAGATTTGGAATTGAACTATCATTTCCATTTTTAAGAGATACTAAGCGTGCGTAAATGCAGTTTTTGTGAGTTACTTGTATTTAAAATGCGTAAAGGAGTCTCAGTGACACTTTCAAGTGGTAGTTAGAAGAAATAATGAGGAGAATGCATCAGAAGTTCAAAGGAAACACTATCCGCACCAATCTGTTAGATGAATTCTAAAAATCTACTGTTGCATAAGGTGATCTGTAAAATCTAATGAATTATCTTTATTTCAAGTTGTTATTCATCGTAGACTGACATCAGTTGGAGGAACAAAGTAAACCTGGAACCACTGGACAGCTGTTTCGTCCTAGTATGGGACTCCTCAGCAGTGAGCACCCACGACCCTGCACCACCAGGGATTGAACCCACGATCTTCAGGTTCCGTGGCCAGTGCGTTACCATCGAGCCACTGTGACAGAATCCAATGGTCCATATTTCCAACTTCTGTTAGCTCACGATATAGCGCAACTGGTGCTCATTGGTGACTAGTTTCGAGAGGTGTTCCCGAAGTTCCAATGAGAAGTCGTGACCGATGAAGCCAAAGCCTAATGGTCGTGAGGACAGTTACTCAACGATGACATTGGGTGGCGGTTGCGCTATATCGTGAGCTAACAGAAGTTGGAAATATGGACCATTGGATTCTGTCACAGTGGCTCGATGGTAACGCACTGGCCACGGAACCTGAAGATCGTGGGTTCAATCCCTGGTGGTGCGGGGTCGTGGGTGCTCACTGCTGAGGAGTCCCACACGAGGACGAAACAGCTGTCCAGTGGTTCCAGGTTTACTTTGTTCCTCCAACTGATGTCAGTCTACGATGAATAACAACTTGAAATATTTCCAAATCTCCACAACTCCCTCAAAATCCAATTATCTTTATCTATTAGTTTGTATCCTGAAAATGTGTGTCCTAAGAAAGTTCACTATTCATATCAATATAAGATGAACAAAAGTCCATTTGATCCACTTTTACAGAAAATCTATCTCACCTCTAGTTCCCGAACTTCAATCTTCTTCTCAAACATCCATTTAGACTGGGACTTGACTTGGTTTCTTTGGTGATTGGATTTCTGCCAGACGGCAACTAGACCTGAAGCATCACCAGAGTATATATGTGACCCATCTTTATCGAAGGTTAGGCTGTTTATATGAGACTGATGTATTCCATTCAATTCTTGTAACAACTTTTCGATGTCATCGTTGTTGGAACAAAATAGAAATGGAAAATATAGATATGATATTGAGTCTGGAAGTTTGTGGAGATTTATTAATTGATTTCATTTTAGACCTCATCATGAACTGACATCAGTTGAAGGGACATTGGGAAACTGGGATCACTGAACAGCACCCATGACCTCGCGGGGGGTTGAACCCAGGCCCTTCAGGTTTCATGGCAAGCACGCTACCACTGAGCTACTGGGTCGGAATCCAATGGTTTATATTTCCTACTTCTGTCAGTTCACGATATAGCGCGACCTTCGTCCAATTCCGGCGTTCAGTAACTGCCCTCATGTTCAACCTGGTTGAGTCTACTGCTCATTATTTCTTTACAGCCCATACACTTTCAAAATTATTAATGTTTGGGTTAAAATAGTAGTAAGTTGTGGTGTATTCTGAAGACTTTTCATAACAGGTGTCTGCAGTGTAATCCACTTCACTAGAGTAACGGCGAGTTACATAGGACGCAAATGCTCTAGTTCAGAAAGTCGTTGAATACAAAAATCCAAGGAAAATTAGATACCTTAGTTCTTGTTGTTAAATAGGCATTCCAAATTTTCGTGAGATGAACACTGCTGGTTTGAACCAGCTGAGTGGAGGAATATTCAATGAAGAACAACAGATTTACTGAATGCAGTAATGTGGTGTCTTATTCTTGTCAATAGTTCAAAAGGCTTGTGGTACGCATAAACATGTGCAAAAACAATGGTGACTTTCACCTACGTCTAATCTTTATTCTTTTAAATATCAAGCAGTATTTTTATTGAAGCCTAAACTTTCACTCTCTTTTTTCGCATTTTCAAACAAAAGGTTTATATGTACATGAAGTCGTCTCAAAAGAGTGATCAATTGAAAATGATAACTCTACTGAACAAACAAGTACAAGTTTATGTAATAAACTGGTAACCGCACCTCCTATTTTAGAACTAATACCCATTTCTGGCCACTCAAATCTGAATAGTTGGTAAAGGATTTAAGTTTTCGATCGTCTGATGGAAAAGTGAAGTTCCAACTGAGTATACCTATGAAAGTAGTACTACCATAAACTCTCCTTACACCTGGCGTATTCACTTATGAACCGTAATTTAATCAAATATACTCATATTTGTTATTTTATAGGCTTTAAAACAAAGCTGAGAAGTAAATGTGACCAGCTGTTGTGAATAATTTAATTTTGATTCAGTCTCTTCATAATTTCATTCTTCAACGTATATCATAACTTACACGCAATACTCTCTGTCTTTTGTGATAACCTGTAAAGTACGACGAGTTTTGATACCCGTCAGGTATATAATAGATTATAAATTGAAGAAAAATAAAAATCTTTCTAATAAATAGGGTAAATACCTGAGCTTGACTGTGCTTGATACTCCACAATCGAATAGTACGATCATAGCATCCTGTAGCAAGCAAATGAGTTTGAACGAAGAAATTCTGAATGTTTTGAGATTCTTGTCTATCAAATTCTGTACGTTCTGGTTTGAATACAACACTATACACAAAATTTGGATGACCGAGCACATTACATAAAACACCTTTCTTGTGTGACAATCCATTAATAATTTGACCAACTTTCACCTGAGATAAAGTTGAGCTACGTGAGACTACTACATTACCATCCGATAATGAAATGGGATTGTAATCATTGATAGCTTTCTTGTATATTCTGTTAAGATGCAATCTCCACACCCGTACAGTACCATCAGCTGAACCGGATGCTAGAATCCAAAATACTTTTGTACCAATAGAACTTCTCCTGGGTGATTTCTGGTCGCTTTTGTTATTCGAAGTTTGAAGTATTGGTGTCTTAGCCCAGTCTAGAGAATAGATGATATCAGAATGTCCGGCTAGTTCTAGGTTTGGTTGACTACGTTTGTTGTTCAAGGGGTACTTTTCAACAAGAAAATAAAAGTAACAATAACATATTTCTAATGAACAAAAACTTACTTTTTATCTATCATGAAAAACTTTACACTTATATTTAGTAAACTTGAAATTTTTTGGTAAATTAACTCACTGGTATGTGAAAACATAGATTTTTACTGCATCATTGGTATTCCTCCACTTTTAAGCATGTTCTGGAAGCCATCAATTGTTAAAAGTGGTTTTTAGAATGAGTAAACTTATGTCAGATAACCTAGTGACTCAAAAAGCAGGAGTTTTTTTCACTAACTTGTTGAACATCTTATAATATTTAACGTGTGAGAAGATTTTTCTCTTATAACTTGAATGGATGTGAAACTAATTTACTTACAAATTATTAGATTGGAATCTGTTTCTTACTTCGCTAATTAAGCAGTCTCATAGTTCATGAGCATCTGCATACAGCAACTTCTTGACAGTAAAGAAAATGTGAATAGTGTGAAAATGGTTAAAAATATATGAGCAATGGTCACTTTATCCATAGATAACCTTTTAGTACGATTTTCATCATGCACTAGCATTGTTTAAAAACTAGGTAACACCATGAAGAATTTTTATCCTAACTTGGGACTCTTTGGCAGCACTCAGTCTGACTGACACACACCATCCCATCTAGAACTCCTGAACCTGACAGTAAACGAGATTCTACTCACTCAATTACTTAATATTCAATGTCTCATGATTCAAAACTTTAGTGGTACAGGGAAAGAGATTCACTACCATCAATAGGGGTCCCTTATTTTCACCTTGGTTGACAGCAAAAGTCTACATTTTTTATCTCATCAACAACATATCAAAGGCAGTCATCGGACAACAGTCAAGCGAACAATAAGTTCGCTAGTGTGTGAGATACTTTCTTTTTTGATGGATTCTTGATTTCGAAGTTTTCTTTCGCTGATTTAATTTGTCGATGCAGGCTGTCTTTACATTTATCAATCCATCAAATGACATTTAATTGAAAAGAAGTTGAATGCACTGTCAACCAACCAATCTCCATAAAGCACCAGATTGAAATACTTTCTTATGTTAATATTAGTGACATACTTAGAGTTGAGATTTCTCAAATTTGTAGTAAGAATTCGTGACCAGTGGGGTAAAACCAAGTTGGATGTCAGAGCAGACATTCAGCGATGGCATCTGATGATGGTCGCACCATATCGAGCTATGATAGAATTTAGGAAAATGTCAACAACTGAATTTCAATCCGGTGTCCTATTGTAACTTGCTCGGTGCGAGATCTTATGGGTTTGACCCCTGGAGGGGTAGTGAGTGAGTACTGGTGAGAAGTCTTATACCTGAACAAAACAGCTATTTCAGTGTCCCGAAGTCTTCAATATTTTTCCAAATGATATCAATTCGTGACGAATACCACCTTGTAATAAAAATAAGCCCAAACCATTGGATATGGGAAATAAAAGGCTACTGAATTATTTCACAAGTCATCAAACTGAGGACAAAGTGGGTATGTTTAGAAAATCTCATGTTGAATGTGCCTCAGAATAAAAACTCGTAATCAATATCATTCAATTATCTTGCGAAGATAGATTTAACGTCTGATCATTGAAAAGACGACTTGAATTCTTCACTAATTAGCCTGAAAGTATATTGATAACTGTTGATACCTAGACGGATAAATTTGCTTTCGGATGCAACAACAGTATACCATGGATATGTAGTACGATCACATTAATCTTCACTGTATAAACTAACAGATAATCAGCGACTAATAAAAGTATGATCCAATAATTAATTGTCTACCTTTCATATTACATTAAACGTGATGAACTGTTAGTTGGAAAGTTCAATTTTTATCTCTAGAAAATTTCAATCGGATTTATATCTCCTAATAAAAAGACCACTTCATCTCTTTTATTTCACATCTCATAACTGATAGGACTGCAGAATATCCGAGTTTCAGCATGATGACAATAGGTTTATCCAATACTTTGATTAAATCGTAAATAAAAATCATTTTTGGCATGATCGTTAATTACTTTGTCGTTCTCATTCTGATAACCAAAACACTTTCACTCAGTTTTATAGTTTTTGCTTCTGTCAATACATGAGGTCTATTTAGCAAATTATGGGATAAAAAACTCATATTATATTTATGACTGCAACATTTAAAAAGGTTATATACTATCTATTTCCAAATAGAGATTTACATCATGTTTGGAAGAGGCTTGTGAAAGTTTAGTGCAGAATGCATGTGGAAATATGAAGCCCTTCTACCTTCTTTTCCAACATAAGCCCAATTAGAAGAGCCTTAAAGATGCCATAGATCCCTTTGCTTTAGCTTATTAGTGTACTGTAGAAAAGAACTTTTTTCTTGAAGCAGTCAAATCTTATATCAGAATTGCTATTCGACTTGCATATTTCGTCTTATATATTCATTGTTAATTCATAGCTGCAGCACCACTTGATGGTACTAGTAATAACAACAATAATAATAGTAAGGATAATAACATCAATAATAATATGAACTATAACTAGTGAATTTAACCTAGTGTAAGATACAGCAGCGTTATAGAACACAGGTTTTTATAAGAATATTCAAGGTTGTTTACGGGCTAAGTTTAAATAGATGCTATCAGAGTACAGGATTATTTCACATTCACAAACTTAAAAGTGTGATGATACATGTGTTACGACAGTGAGAAGAACGTTCTGCATATCCGAAGACCCATATGTAATCCTTTCGTTCTGTGTGTCTAAACTAGGGTATATTTAAACAAAAAGGAGATTTTACCGAAATTCATTGAAATTTTTAAAATAAAGTGTTCTAACCTTGTATATTAAAATAGAACAGTCCATCTTATTTGTTCTATGAACTGCACAAATTCCAGTTGTACTGTTCAATATAAAGTGTCGTATAACTCCAACAGCTAACCATTTACCATCTGGTGAAAATGTTAAACACTGAGCACCGTAAGATTTCGTTAACGGGTAGTGACTTTGATTTGACTTCATATCTTTCGACAGATTACTATCATTTAATTTCATGGATGTCGTTATCCCATAACCAGCAAGCATGTTTGGAATGTGACGCGGTTGATTTGATTTTCGAATCCAGAAGTCTTGCAATTCAGTAACTTCATCTATTTCTGTGTCTACATTACTGACGATATGTTCTTCATTATCTGACACAACGTTGATATTCTCCGGAAGACCTGGTTCACTCAAATTGATCATACTTAAAGTAGGTTGTTCAGAGGGCTTAGATTAGCGGTTTGAAAAAAAGCATTTTTGGACACAAGTTTATCATTATGTATGCAGATTATAGGCTGCATACAGATTCAATATCACAAATGAAATGCTACTTGAAGATTAACTTCATCACAAAATTGGATTTAAACACCAATAAAAACATATAGGTGACAAGATAAATCTCTCCCCAAGTTCAAATATCACTAACAATAGAGACCGATAGCTCTTCCAAAAACACTACATGCCACTCTGAGTTTTTTATGAGTAAGCTACTCCAGTGAGATTAAAACTGATCCCGACTAATTCATAATGTAGTGCAAGCGACCTTTTATAGCGCAGATTTCCTGATGCGGCTTTTTATTCTACACCCATACATATACTTGAGATATTGGAACAAAAGTGTCCTCCATTTTGGCAGTATTACAGGTATTTTAATAACTGACTTCTTCAAGGTCAACTTCAACTAATGCAAATCAGCATTTTTGCATTCTGTCTCTCATACAATAAACAAAGTCATGCAAACTATAAAACACTCAGTAGTATCCATTTCGTATCAATCAAAAGATGACTAACGACCATATAAAATTACATAAACTGTATAATTTAGGGTGTGACCAGCTGTACATCTGTTAAGCATGGGCGTTAAAGGTGTAATAAATGAGATCCGCATAGCATTTTTCGTCATATATGTCTCCTTAGCAAGGCTCATATAGAATAGAGCCACAGATACGGTGAAGTTGATAAGCACAAAATGAAGATATAAAAAGTACATCGAAGTCCTGAGCATTTTTTTAAAGTTAAAAACGAAGTAAGCTGATTTCACATACCACTTTACAGATTAATTTTTCTTGTAACTGATTTTCTAAGAGTTCAGTTGTAATTATTTCCTTAACAGTTACATAAATTGATGATGGATAGGGTACTCTGTAGCGACTTCCAGATTTCCAACACGACAATAAATGGTAACCTGATTCCATTGAGCTATATTCTGAAAAATTGGGGCTGTTGTTCCTTATGAGTTGATTTTTCTGTAAAACACCTAAACCTGATACTTTTCCAATTGGTAAATTGTCAAGTTTCTTTTCGATAGAGTGAAAAGACTTCTTAATGATAGGCTCATAAAGCTGAAGACGCTGTTTTTTATGACCAACATTCAGTCCACCATTGGAATTTGTCAACAAAAGAAAAGCCCATGCAACCATAGAACATCCGGTATTTTTCTCTGTATGCATCTTAAAATCACTGCTTTCATACGCCTTTCCATTTGTATCAAGAATCTGTAAGCGAGTAAAAGTAATGAAATAGTCATAAAAGAAGAACTGGAAAGTATTTTCTGTAAGCTTTTGAGCACATAAAATAAAGAAATGGTCACCACTCAGGGCCTATGTACAAGCTGAAACAGCTTGGTTGTCAATAAATTAGAAGCCATTTATTTACGGCCTGTTCCAATCCAGCGTGTCTTTCCACCCATTTCATTATCCGTTGCCTATCAAATCTATTTCATGAGGATTTACTTACTAATAAGTACTACCGAGGTCGACTTGTTGTTTGCTAGGTAGCGATTTCATATAATGGGTGCACACTATTCCTGTCTTATGTCATTGGAATTAGTCAGTAGGCAGAGCGGTTTGACCTGGGCTCCAAGCTTATTGGAACTCAATAGTTAAGCAGATATGCGACCATCAGGAAGCCAGTATTTTGTCGGCCATTCAAACCTGTGTTGTTCAGTACTGAAGTCAGAGACTTGAGTAATTAGCTACTCAGGATACGACTGTTCCTCTGTGTGAATGACTTATGTGTATGAGTTGGTCGCCAGTGTTTAACTCATGTGTTGTCGTAGTCCTCATTGATTAGCACTGATTTAAGTCGATAGAGTACGTTCTCCAGTGTGACCACTGGGCCAAGTATTGGGACGCTGTGAAGCACTGTATTTTAGTGCTGTTTCCTTTACACCATACTGTATTTTACTGTGATGGAGTTAATTTTTACTTCAGAACGATAAATAACTTCATTTGTTCAGTTCTTTTTCACCTTTCATAATTCACAACAGTTATTGTAACACTACAGTAGACTTACTTAGTTGAAGCCAATTAAATTTAGTTGCCAGACCCGTCAAGGTTAGTTACATAAGTTAAGACCATTATTGATTTATATTTGTTTACAAGCCTCCTAAAACAGGATCTAAGAATAGTGTGATACGATGACTAATTCAACAACTAAAACTTCAGTCACCCAACCACATTTTCAAGTGATTATAAACCAGGACTTTGAGAACAGTTTTGGATGAACTTGTTGGAAAGACCATGAAAGATTCCGGATAAGAAACATCAATAGATATATTTGTTGTAGTTGACGATAATCTGTTGGTGTTCCCAAGTATAAAATATGGGTACGTTTTAGGTTACGTGAAGAAAACAAAACATAGTTCTTTTGAAATTGTAAGCGTGTTCGTAGTGTGTGATAAGTGAAATCTACACTAATTATCATGGGAAGGCGTTCATCGGATGAAAGAACAAAGAGTAGCTACTTTAGTTAAAATCCTTGCGAAATTATTAGAAAAACGCAGTATCTAGCATACGAAGGACATGTTATCTATCATTTTAACTAATTTGTGAAACTTAATGACTTCGAGTTAATTCCAGACGATAAAAGCTGTGTGACAAAGCAATATATTACTTAGTTTGTCAATTGCTACAGTCTGATATGCAACCAAATTAAGATCGTCTAACTATAAGCAGACTGATTTTGACATGATTGAATGTGCATTTTTTATGTCTAAGATGTCTGCTGAACTAGCTCTGGAGTAAAACCCTTTCTCACAGTTTTTGATACGCTTTGTGAAACACATGCTAGTATATACAAATACATTACGAGACCACAGCCCAAAAAATTAAAAACAGATAATACACTGTTCATTTAAAAGGCTATGAGTTCTAGGTTGCATAACACTTAACAACCATTGTTGATTTACAAGTTGCCTGACAAAGATCGTTATAAATTCAACCTCTCAATATTAACAAAAGATCAGTCTTTATTGAGTAACGGTCCGAGTTGCTAAACCTTACATCAGACAATCAAGATATGTGACTGAAAGATGAAAGAAGAAATAGGGAGGGAATTTGTAATCGAAATTCGTGGAAAGGCATGAGAAGAGGGCATAAGAGGGTGGGACGAATAATAGAATGTGATGAGAAGATTCAGATAAAGAGAAAATGTGGATGTATCTGTGTTGCTAAGATCAGTCCATTGCCATATCATTTGGAGTCTTCAGCTGCCGATTTCCTTTGTTACGTAGATCCCAACATGGAAGTCCGTATTCACTCAGATGGTTAAGACTGACGGTCAAAGCCTTCATGGAGTAATGCCACCTTCTTGTTTCGCTGCCTTTAACCTTTTCTATCTCAACTTACTTTATCTAACATTGAGAGTTGAGGAAGAAGGTGACTAGGTATGTGTGACATAGGTTCCCAAAAACCACCCTAGTTTAAGAAGGTTCACAGCATAATAAGCTGAGTTGCCTCCTGTACCTAAGAAACTACGCTGTGACTTAACATGAAATTACTGCTTTCAAAGCTTATTTAACAAGCAAGAGGAAAGCCGTAGAACGAATTATCCAAATCCCACAAGTTTTCCCCCCTTCTCTCTTTAAAACAAAACTCAGTTAAAGGCATCTAAAACCGTCATGGAGACTTTTGTTCTCTATTTTGTCACGAGTGTACGAGAGCTTGATTGTGTTATAGGATTGAAAAGGTTTATAAATATGAGCGAAAATAACCACTGTTCGATCAAGTTGACTTTGGAGTAAGCCACTGAGTCAAATGAAATCACCCACTAACTGAAAAAATGATATCGTTAGTTCAGTTTCCAAAATTGGTCATAGTAGTTTGATGATGAATCATTACCCGATTTGTCTGACTAGTTTTGTTGGTAAGCTTCCAGGAAGGATCACCTGTAGTGCTATTCTGTTATATGTCAAGGTGGATATGTCACTCTTGCCTAGAATACCTCATTGCAGGACGAAACGTTCCAACTGATGCAAAATTTATTGGCGCAAGCAAAGATAGTGGTAAAATTCCTCACTTAAGTCTCAAAAAAAGGTGGAACGCTTTTGGATCATTGGTTTAGCTAGAAATTAGGTCATAAAATTTCTTGCAGACGACATAGGTTGAAAGTAAAGGGAGTTTGCTTTTCATCAGAGTAAACAAAAAGTAGATTCAATTACACTTTCTATCTTGTGTAAATCGGTTGCCCAGTATAACTAATTCATGTTTGTGGGCGTTAAGAGCTATTCAATGAGATGGAGATAGGATATTCCTCCAGACGATCAAAATGCTGTGGTGGATTGGTTCATAATGGGTAGTCTAGAAACTAGCACCGCAAAGAGTGCTGCCATATAAAGTCGTCTGTAAGATCCACTAGATTGCTTTATCAATGACATGCTGTTATCCACAATAAGTGAATACGGGGACTTAAGTGTCATGACCATAACCTTACAACATAGGGTAACTGTGAGGCGTCAGCTGCCAAAGATTCACAAGTTGTGTGGTCCCAAAGAAAAGCTTTTCAGAAATCTGTTGATGACGAGTTATGGATATGATACTCAACACTTTTTTGACCAGATTTCGATTATTATAAATAAGTGCTGAGTCTGCGTTTCAAATATCCTGGTGATGTATGGTCACTAGCCTATAGTGCAGAAATTACAATTTTAAAAGGGTCCTTCAACTTCCACGAAAAAAGACGAAACTCACTAGAACCTTTACCAATGCCTTGTTCTATGATGAAGGATGATATCATTTTAGTATACCTTATATTTTGAATAATGGTTTTCGTGATAACTTCTCTGCTTGATACCTTTTCTATGGACCGGTTCACTTCAGAGGACAGAATCGACAGGTTCACAAACCATGTTCGAATTATCTACGTCCCGAAAACTTCTCCTCACACATTTGAAGCAGTGGAGCCCTATATCTGCGCAGCTAGTATCTGCACCATTAGGTGATACCTTCAATGTGGAATTTCATCTCTACATTACTACCACTAGCAAGAATAATAATCGATCGTTGGTCTACCGTACTTATTCCCAAAGACTAACCACACAAGTATTGTTAGATATTGATTTGTCCCATAGTCCCGAATTATTCACAAATATTTGGAGCCCAAGATATTTCCATTTTCGATGGAAAAAGAAGTCTTATGATAACTGTGAAGAGATATCTGGAATTTTAGTAGTAATAACTATTGATCGAGCGCATGCTTAATTTCACTAAAACATGTGGTATCTCAAGACAAAAGACAGTGGGGTCACAGTAGTTTGTATATCCATCAAGGATAACTAGCACGGCATGTAATGTAGAGGTCAAATAAATGGTCCCAAGTAGTAAGCTTAAGTATACATAAGCATTCAAAATTTTCCTGCATAAGTGTAACATAGTATTCGTGAATTCATAATTATTAAATTTCCATAGAATCCAAAGGATCTCGTAAATGAAACTAACTTCAAAAACATTCCTAGCTGACTTCTCATACTATAATGTGAAAAAAATACGTATATTTTTTTAAATGTAGATAGTCACTGCTACCTGTTCCTGATCGGAGGAAGCTTCGTTGGAATATCTAACCCTTTTTCTCCTGTACGACTTCAGTTCGGCCGCAACCTCTCATCTAATTATTTTTTCTCAAGTGGCGAATCAGGACGAATTTATATAGTCTTACTCTTAATCTTATATGCCTTCCTGAGAACAATCTCACGCTGTCTGGAAATACTCACAACAGCCTTCATGAGACGCTGTGTATTAGCAACTATTCCAAATAGCAAAGGTCCTTGAAACAATGTTTTACCATAAAATATCAACTGATCTTAGGTTATAAATTCTTGGATCTCTTCAAGGTCAGATAGAATGAAATCACCGAAAATTAATGTCACTTTTGTTAAGACAATGCCTAATCATTTCGAGTCTAATTAAGCTCCAAACAGTATATCACGTACCAATCTCAAGCTGGCCACAAAAGCAGAATGTATTTGGTGAGACTTACTTCAAAAAATAATATAATATTTTTATTACTTGAGATTGCATGAAAATTCTGGGGAATTAATATAACGTCATCCCAAACAGGCATTAATAAGTCCTGGTACTTTGTGCTCACAGCTTTTGTGTCCATCGGAATAAGGTTTGCTAGGCTTCTTGATGAATTATCAATCAGCCTAACTGGATAACATTTTATACAATACCTCTTACTTTTACCCACTCTTATGTAGTCTTCACTTTCCGTATCCATCAAGTGAATCCGGACGAACAGACGCGATATGGTGGGTGATACTTTGAGCCTATCCGTACGATGAACAGTGATGTTGAGAAAGCAATCGTTTTCCATCTTCAAAGGATGATCTTGTGGCTCAATTCAGGTTTTTCAACAGACACCTGTAGTTTATTTGTATTTTTCTTAGAACGATTAACAGACTTCTTAATGAACCCGTCTATCACACCCCGGTTTTAGCCTCTTTGGCTGGCATGTTGCTTTACACATATTGGAGACCATATAATTCGATACATAAACTTACTTTAAACTGTATTTCCCGAAGTCTTCCATTTCAAAAGAATCATTCCCCTTACCAATCTGAAAAACAGAAGCGATGATGGACACTTTAAGTTACTTCCTTATTTGACCCCTTTTCTTGTAATTTAATCTTTCTGTACACCATTTAAAGGTCGTCAATAATGTGTTACATTAGCAACCCTGTTCAAAATAGTGCTTAAGAAAAATTATTCGTTGAATGCATTCAAACAACTTTTCGACATAACTGTGAGAAGAAAAAACTCAGCATCAGCACCAATAGCGCGAGTAGAAGAAGCCTGTAGTTTTTTAGCTCTCGCCTCTGGGTTCTTGAGTGTATATTCTTTTTGTTCGACTGTATTCTATCAGCAGTCGAAGAAGTCTTGATTTTCCTGCTTGTAGCTTTGGAGGTAGTGATTGCCTATTTAAAGTGATTTTTTACAAATTACTGTTTGGCTTATTTGGGTAAGCAGCCAAGTTGCTGATGGGATCAATCACCTTATTTCAGTTCCTGTGGTAGCAATGCATGTAAGCATTAAGCGTTATTTAAAAGGTGCTAGAAAAATGGACTAGTTGAGCTACTCCCTTCGGTAGAGCATTCCACACGGCACACACTGTGTCACAAGATATTAGACCTCATTCTCACCTTCGCCCTATGGTAGGTTATGCGAAGGGGATTCCCTCGAGTCTGTTGGTTTTGGGCCGATAACATTGACCTGTTGGGGTGGTCAGCTTAATGAACGATCTTGTAGGCTTTCTGGCCACATATCTTCCTTATGCGGCTCAGTGTGAATAAGCTCAGTTGTTCAGGGCGTTGCGCGTATGTTTTGTCCGTTAGCCGACCTTGTTGCTCTCTTCCGTAACGTCTCAAGAGTGCTGGCGTTCATCTTTAGCAGAAGGGTGATATCATGTTGACTAACTCTACGTGCTGTCTTCTAAAGGTTTGAAGTATTATGGGGAATGACTCTGAAGTTAACGCCACAAGCTGACCACTTTGAAAGTGCATGATGGCGTTTGTCTATACCACCATTCCCTTATAGTTGGCACTACTATCTGGTATGTTAGGGGAGTTCAGTCCTACATACATGACCGTCCGGTTCTGTAGCATTGTGGGGTGTGGTAAACGTCGTTTTTTCCGTTCAGGCGGTTCCAAACAACGTCTTTGACCGCGCTCCACAGTACCTTGGATAGTGTGGCAAGTGAAACTATCGGTGTAAAAACGCACGGGTCTTCTGACCTCCTCGCTTGAAAGTTGCTCAAAGGACAGCACGACTCCATTCTCCAGGGAGTTGACTTACTTCCAAAGAGTGCGTGAACAGACTGCATGCTAGAATGTTCAGCACTTTGTCACAGTTCCATATTGCCACCGATCTTGTTTCTCCACAGCTGAGAGATTTCACTGCCCTCTTCCTTTGCACCCGCCTTTGGGATGCTTGAGTAACCCAGGACCGTTTGAGAGGTAGTCGTCTGGTTGATTTCAGAGCACACTTTTCCTAGCGCCCCGGAAAATACCTAATTACGTATTAAGTGTTCAGTTGCTAATAGAGAGTGCCGCTGTTGTGCCAGTAGGGCACCCAGCAGTTTATTGCTTATGAGCTGGTAATCTACGGGGCTCATTTTGTCCGAACACCGGTAGCCTCGCCTCGGTTATTGGGGAAACTCTCTCCAGCGCGTGATAGCTTTTGGCTGGACACAGATATGGTTCACTAAAGGATCATCGTCCGTCAGAACGTAGTCAAACCGCGTTCATTTTCCATCTGGTCCCTATCAAGTGTTTTCACCAACTTTCCCTCCACAAATGTGTTTCGAAGTCGTTGTTAAGAGGATTCATACCTACACCTTACTTCAGATCCCCGGTCAAGTGCCGGGGCCTTGAAGCACTTGGCGAGGTTACATGTCCAAAGGTTATCGGAGCCGCTCCTAGCGATCGTGCCTTATGCTCCTTTGTGCGTGAAGGAGATCTGTATACCGCTCCCAGTGAGCACTTCGTCTAGTTTATTGAGAAACAACACAACTTGGAGTCTGGCAATTGGCTAAACACATTATCAGTCGCCTCCTTGACTTTTGGAATCGTGCTGGTGTACATGGTCTCTTCTCCACTTTCTTTGGACTGCCTGTCCATTCAGGACAAAGCCATCCCAGGTAAAGTCATTTCTTGGTCCGGGATGCCTGATGAGAGTCATGTTTGGGTCGTGAAAATTACATCTGCATGTGGGTGATAGCACATTGTCCTTAGCTGCAGCTGTTTACTTCCGAGACCCTTGCACTACCGTAGAATATGTCAATAAGCTGCTTTCTGGATTTAGTGCTGTACGGAAATTCGTGTGGGGGTTAGAGTTCTCTTGCATAGGATTCCGATCGCAGGTCCATACTGAACGGTAAAATCTCCGCTTTTTGTTCTTCTTGGCATCCTGTCGTTGGTGTGATGGAAGTGTTCATCGTTGCGTCTACAGGTGTTAGTTCAGTAGATGCTTCATTGTGGACAGTAGTGTCCTCAGATTTCTCGGAGGTTGCCCGTACCATTCAACCCGGAGGACTGTGGTCCGCTTTCTCAGGATCGTATAGGACCTTTTATCTGATCTTTTACGCGGTGCCGTACTGTGAGTGTTGCCTATGCGTTAGGGCCCACAGCTAGCAACACGTTCGAAGAGATGCTCCACGGGTGAGCAGGTCTTGGTGATCTACTTAAGCTACTGGCAGGCAGGTTTTCTAGTCCCATTTTTGCCACTAGCCGACCCCACGGCTCGATGTCATGAAGGCAATGATAAATTTTCGTAGATCTTTCCGCCCGCTTGGACGCTCATTCCATGCACCACTGTGGTTGCAGCTTCGTGCAGGTAGCCAGGTGCAGACTTCCTCTCTGCCTCTCTGGTGACCGATGGCTTCACTCTTACAAAGCAGGAGCCAGTGATATCTTGACAGGATGGGAGCAGTGGTGCGTTGCCTGACCGTTTCGCTGTCGTCGATGAAACGTTGAAGGGTGGTGGCTTATCTCAGCGTGCTCTATTTCCTCGGGGAGCTAGCAGAAGCTTACTGCGGTTGTTTCCACTCACGGCTTCTCGCGGCAGTCATCTGGATTTTCCTCCCCAGGTTGCGCTTTTTCCCGAAATTGAGTCCATTGGTATGGGGATATTGAACAAGATGATGCAGTCCGTTCTTTTGTTCCGTAGTTGCTGGTAGCAAGACCCATCTCTTCAGGTTGTTCAACTCCGTTGGATTGTCTAGGTTGTGTTGGGACAAGAAGAGGAAACTTCATTGGGACCTCAAGCGCGTGGGAAACGGCATCTTCCTTTCCCTACGAGCGACATCTTTTCGCGCTTATGACGCGTGCCCAGTTTCTGTGGGCAGATGCTGTGAGCCCACACTTTTCGATATACTCAGCTGCACCAGGTTCTTAGCCTACCGGTTGTAATAGCAAGTAGTTTTCGACACTCTAGACATACGTACCACATCCACTTACATAGGTGCTTTGTCGAGGGGCTGCAGTAATGACCCGGTATACCCACATCGAAGTTACAATGAACCTACTTGAAATGAACAAGGTTTCTCGAGCTTCTGTCACTGATGAACTGCAAACACTAGAGTCTTCAGAGACTTCCTCTTTGTTGACTACCGTATGGCCCTATTTTGTGAGCTGAAGTCGGCTACAGCGTGTAACAACGCACTGGCTCTTTGTCATCCACTTTTCCATTTTTTTTTGTTCTTCACCAATGAGATGTTTGAAGCCGCGTTACTTTCGCTGTGACTACATGAGCTCACCGGCTTCTGCGAAAATGTTGTTTCTGTCGCGACAGTAATGCAAGGACCCTAGATGCTGCCGGCCTTGTCGTGCTTCCCTCATTGCAGACTAGCTTCTGCCGCCTGCCGACCTCGAAATACAAGTCGCAGCTTGCGACCTAGCTTTCTGCACCTTTATAGTTAAGTTGGACAGAGTGCATAAATTGTATAAAAACAAAGCGGAGAATAGGCATAGGAAATAGCCTACAGCCAGGAACTTGATGCTCAGTCTTTCTCATTTTGTCATAGACTTCAACCAAATACTCCAGGTGCATATGTATAGACCAAGAAAGATGTTTCTTGTTGGATGATTCCAAACGAGAGCCAAAGACCATAGCAGCTGAGCAGTCCATATGACTACGAAGCACCAGCGGGGATTGTTCCCGGGTTAAAAAGATGGTTACGCTGTTGAGAACAGCAATTATTACGTACAGTCGATGAAACGAATTACGTTCACCGTTACGATATGGTTGAAGGAGGTTTTCAGTGAGACGCTGCGTAGTATTGACCTTTAGAATGGAACTGAACAAGGCAAGATGTTATTCAAACGGACTCACCTCTGAAAACAACGTCAAAGTTACTTATCATGGCCAGGGCTAAAGTGTTCTCAATAGCGGAGTGATTATAACTCGTAGTCCGTAAATTCGGCCACTAACGACCGCTTGGGGTAATACGTTTCATGCTCAAATTTCGGTGATTTTGTCTTTGTGAAGCCTTGCACATGAATTTCTGGTGTCGAACATTTCTCATTTCTCCAGTTCCTTCAGGTACGCTTTATTACTTGAATCTAATGTTCCGGTTCTCCCCTTTTCGGAGGTCCAAGGGAAATCGTTGATTCCAAGCTAGGCGTCGCTCATAACAAATGCGAAAGCTTGAACAGTGTTTACCGCGCATAGAAGCATGCAGCAAAACGACAGTAGAAACTGAATATATGTAAAGTGGACCATGAATACCTACACAGGAGTAGAGCGAAATCTAAACATTAGTGTGTGCGAAAGCACAACCACTCTGCTGAACGTGCCATAATAGGGATATCAAAAACGTGATGGACACCAGGTATTTCCTGAGTGCATGGCAAAATATTTCAAGAAAGGTCAAAGACGAAACCAATAGTTGCATTTCCAACCACTAGTCCTTAGCACTTGTCGAACACCAACAATTGTGCAACCAAGGAACAATACAGGGGGGTTGCAAACTGTGAACTGCCTCATCTGCAAATCGTTCCAGTATATCACACACCTGAGTTAGTTGGCTAGGCGGTCGTGAATGGAGAAGGAATATAACATGGTGAAGTGCTGAATAGCGTGGATCCTTGTCCATGTACCTCCTCCTTAACAAGTCATTTGTACCTATGTCAATATCTTAGAGACCAAGGTTCTCGAGTCCGTTGATTTATTTCCCACCGCGAGTGTTGTGGTGTGCTACAGGATTGCATAGA